GGGGGGGGGAGGGGCGACAGGGGGTACCGAACAGACTTTTGTGCGGTGAAACAGCTAATACCTAAGCTCCTGGGAGAAGAGTCGGGGGAGGGGGAAGGAGGTGCGAAAGGCTCTGGATCAGTCAGTGGATGTCATCCTGTATCTAAAAGTGTGAATGCATTTTGCAAAACGTGCTTTGCTTAGGTTTGGAATTTCTGTGAATGCCTGAGTTAGCGGCGCACTTAGAGAAGGATACGCCAGTAACTCGGATAATTTCTCGGACTGACCTATTTCGCGTTAAGTTGTTAAGAAAGCCGCCACGTGAATGGCAAACTGAAAATGTAAAGAAGCCAAATGTTTTTGAAGAAAGGGATAGTTACTGAAGATAGGGAGTTTAGCTCATGGGATGGAAACTGTGCTAAATCCAGGCATTAAACAAGTTTAATAATATTGATAATTAATAATATCGCTGGAAAGTATGAAACTTTAAATTAAGGTCCAGAAACTTTAAATTAAGGTCCGTTGTTAAAATCATGGAATTCAAGTGCATTGATGAACTGGCGAATAACGACTACCGTAGGAACGATTATCATTTCAACGAAACTTGCCTAATCACCATTTCAACAGGTACAGGAAGTTGTTATTAGTCTTTATTACTGCATAGCTAACACTGATAAAAGTTATCACTCCTTTGAAAAGCAAATTATAGACAGAGAATTGCATGATCCACGGATTTCAAATCCCCATTCAGCTGCGATTCTTCAAACTTTCCGCAGTTTTCTCAAGATTTTACAGCTGTTGTATCTGGAGCAGGTGTGGAATGTGGCAATTCGGGAACGGGGCTTGTCACGCTGAAAACAGTAACTGTCAACTTAGTAGCTGGGTCGGTCGAATCGGAAGCAGAACTAGTCAATTTTGAAGCGGGGCCAGTTAAGTTGGAAATGGGCACTGGATCTGTAACGTTGGTCGGGCTTGCAACTCCTTCGTCAGCTGCAAATACAAAATTAAGACACTGTATTTCGGCTAGTACAGTTAAACTTCATATGCACAATAGTAGAATATACGGGCTCTGTGATGTAGCCACAGGCTGTACTAGGACCTCATCCACTTTTCCTTTCCCACCCCTTCCTTTTCCCTCAGTCTGCTTGACTGTAATATTTTCATGCTAAGTTCGGTCTTATCGGTCCTTCCGGGCCCTGTCTTTCAGGATAATTCAGCGACTTTAAACGGATGCACAAATCTTGCATTCCCGAATTTGACACCACATCTCATTAAGCTTAGTGCTCTTCAGTTTTCAGTCGAGCATAAAAGGTATGGAACAGGTTTCCTTCAATTCCCCTTTTTTGAATCATGACATCACTTCAATAATTTTATACAGCTCAGCCAACAAAGGTTTGATATTGCGTTTTTAAACTCAAAATGTGCATCATTATGAGTCTTTTTTAACTAATTGTAATGAGAATGGTTTCAAATCGTACCTTTTTTCAGTGGCTCATCCGCTGCGCTTCTTTTCTTTCTGGGGTACGCAGCTCCCGTATTGAACGGTGAAATCTGTCCACCTTGCGGAACTCCTTGCGAAAATAACGCGGGTTGCGGTACAATAACACCGGGTTGTGTGTATACAGGTTGGCCACCAGCGCTGACCCCTACAGGTGCCGCTGCTTGTGCTGGTGGTGTGTTGCTTGGACCACACGCAGTGCTAATTTTAGCAGCTACTGCGAGAAAAACAACAGTACTAAGCATTCTTCCAGTCCCACTTTTCACCTGAACTGCAGTACCATAATTCATATTCGTGCTTTTCTCCATTTTGAAATTAGAACAACATTTTTGACTCAAACTTTAAGTTATGACTTGAGGAACCAAAACATCTCCTAATTCCTCTCCCTCTCCTTATAGTTTCTAGTTTCTATCTCTTAAAGCATCCGACTCTTACTCGATTGCTATGAGCTAATTACAAGTCGGGATAAGGTAAGTTTTGGAAATTGATTTCAGGTCATTCAAGCATGAAGTCACTTCTGCTACTTACCGTACCCCAACTGTCGTCCAGCACAAAAGCGGAATGAGTATGTGTCTCTCCTCGTTCAGCACAAAAGAATTTTTCTGAATTTAATCCTCGAGTCTCACGTCAGGGTACAACTAAAGTGTTGCTTTTCCCTGACGAAATTTTTCTTTTCATTTGAAAAGCTGGAGAACTTAATTCAGCATTTCTCTTGAATTAATCCCAAATTTCCCCATTCTTGCTTTTGTAATTCTGACGTTGAAATACCGACTTGCACGCAAATACACTTACGGACCAAAACAAAGCATAAAAAAGCACTGTTTAGATTTTTTATAGAAACGCGTTAAGCTATTAGAAATTATAATGTCCTTGTGCTATTTGCCCTTAATTGCCGATTTATGCGAATTTTTCTTTCTTTTTCTTTTGGGATTTTTAGGATAAAATTTTTAAAAATGTGGGAAAAGCTGAGGATGCGCAAATGTCGCGTCTTTTCAATAATAAATTTATGCAACCTACTTAATAAACATGGGATAATTTTTTCAAAATTGTTAACTATCTAAGCAAAAAGTGAGGAAGAAGACAGAAGAGCTGAGCTAGAAAACAAATTTGACAAAAAGGAATTTAATTTGAACATTTTTGCGAGGCAGCTTGTATTTCACCTGGAAAGGTCATCAAAATGCAAGCAATCTTTCGTCGAATTTCGAAAAAATCAAATTTTTTAAAAAGCACTGTAGCAATAGCCTGCCACAAATGCCTTTAAATAAATGTCATTAGCAGTGGTTGTGCTTACTGGACCCTGGCTGGAGCTGGCGGTATCAAAAGTGATCACGTCAGGCAATCCTGCCTTGAGTTATTTTCTTTCAGTCGTGCT